AGCGGGGCTCTCTCGGGCACAAGTGGAACCAGCCTTGAGACCTACTTCAGAGCCCATCCAGTGGCCGAGAGTGTGCGGGAGGCTCCAAAGATCATACAGGGCCAAAGGCCAAAGGCCGGCTGGCTCCTGATGGTCACCAGGAGGCCGGCCTCCCGGAGCGCTCCGGGGGTGTGCGAAGCGAACGCTCCACTCGTGAAAGGATCCGCCCCAGCTAGGCAGCTGCAGGCAGACCTCGGGCTGGCGGTCGCCCGGGGACAGGCCCTCCCCGCACGCCACAGGTCAGGCTCTCGGGGCATTCTCCCGGGAAACGGGGGCCTGCTGCAGGGGCTGCACCCAAGATGCGGAGGCTGTCTGGGAGAAGGGAACCCGGGGTCCATCTGGAGAAGTGGACACGGACCGCCCCTGGGGCAGCGAGCCCTGGGAAGGTGACGGACTGGGCAGCAGTGTAAAACGAAGCTCTTCCAGGTCGGCAAAGTCTGCGCCATGCAGCACCCCACGAGGCGTGCCCCCCAGAGGGCCGCCTCTAACACTCCCAAGGGCAGACGTCCCAGCCAGAAAGCCGCGGGAACGTGGCGCCCCACCAGGCGGGCATGTCCGGCGGCAAGGGCAGGACCTGCCCTGGAGACAGGGTCTCCAGCAGGGCAGCTGGGCGTCGACGCCAGAAACCGGCCTCCAACTCCGCGGGTCAGACACTCACGAGGTGCTGGAGGGTGCGCTGTGGGGGCCCGGTGGGGGGCCCAGGGGCTGGCCACCAGAGTTGCCGCCGCCGCCGCCGTTGCTGCTCCTCCTCTCCCTGTCGCGCGCGGGGGGGTTGTTTCTGGCTCCTCCAGAGTTGCCGCCGCCGCCGCCGTTGCTGCTCCTCCTCTCCCAGTCCTGGGTGTCCCTGGCGCCGCTGCAGCCGCTCCTTTACGGTCTGTATGAGGAGGAGGAGGATGTGAAGATGGCGGAGCTGCAGATGCTGCTGGAGGAGGAAATCCCGGGGGGCCGCCGGGCCCTCTTCGACAGTTACACTAACCTGGAACGGGTGGCTGATTACTGCGAGAACAACTACATCCAGGTGCGGTGCCTTCCCCGGCCTGGGCACGCCGGGCCCGGATTGGGGAAGGGCGCGCGCTGGAGCCCCGGGCCGGTGCCGTGCTCTTGGGGCGTGGGGCACGCGGGGCCGAGGCCTCGGCGTGGACACGGCCCCGCTCAGCCCCCAGTGGGGTGAGGGCAGCCCCCTGCGAGCTGAGACTGGTGGTGAGAGCTGGTGGTGCACGGGTGAGAAGCCTCCGTTTGGAGGAATTTGTAGCTTTAAAACATTTTTAAAAGCCAAGATGATTCTAGGTGCGGTGTGTGTCGTGTCCCCGCCTCCTCACGGCTCCGGTCCTCGGTCGCCGCCTCCACTCGGTGCGGGTCAATATTCGGGGTGGCGGAGGAGGAGGGCAGCATTTTCTGTTTGACAGACTCCTGCTCCCCCTACCCCACCCCCCGCCTTCGCCGCTCCCCCGGCAGGGTGTGTTTTGTGTGTGTGGGGGGGGTGGGGGGGGTAAAGGGGTGTTGATGGATTCACCACCTCCCCCAAGCTTTGGAGGATTTTAAAAGGGTTCTGTTACTGCAGAGTAAAGTACCTTAGTTTTCTATCCGTGTGGATGCCCTAGAAGGCCGGTTGTTGTTGGTTCGTTGGTTTTTAGGTTCTGACGGCGATATAGAAAGAAGAGCACTTGTCTCTTGTTGGAAGTTACTGCCATTTTTTTCTCCCTATGGAGAATGAGAAGCCGCATAATGATGATTCCCCTTCTCTCTCCTCCTCTCCATCCCATTAAAATGGATAATTTTCTGGCGGGGTAAAGAATTGAGACTTTTCCAGATGATTAGGAAATGAGCCGCGTGTTTTAAATTTTCCCGTGGTGGTTGGTTTGTCACCCATAGCGGTGCCGCTGTGTGTATTTGAATGGAGAATTAGGGGCATTGGGCGAGACGAGATCCAGCTGCCCCTAGATGAAACAAAATACTGTGTGGATTAAAAAAAGAAAAGTCCTCCAATGAAAATTGTGGAAAGGATAGGTTAAAACGCAGTTTGCCAGTTCAGCATCTTTTGTTTTCTTTATGGTTTGTCCTGACTCAAAGATTTTACCACCATTTTCCCCCATGCCCACTGAAATTCTCTTGGGATAAAAGTGAAAATGGAAGAAATATGTTAAACTGTTTTTTCAGTATGGTCTCTTTTCTTACTCCCACCCCCACCTCCCCAGGCATCTTTAACATCACCTATACTGGGAAACATTTTCAAGTCAGTGTAAACTGAAAATTAAAAATGGTGTTAAAAATTTACAGGTTCGCAAATTTTGAGAGGTCCACTTGGTGATACTGAGATTTTGTGTCATCTTTAGACATACACTACACTCTTCTAGTATAGGTAATAATCTTGTAGAGGACATTTGTCTTGGAGAATGAAGCAGACATAATCCAAGCCATTTTCCTCCAAAGAGGCTTTGAAAGTATAGCTAGTGGGAAAAGGAAGTGTCTTGGGTCAAAGATTCCTACCGAAGATACTGTTGTCCATATCTGTAGAGTGCTTTGGTCATAGTGAAGTAGGAGAATTTCAAAAGATCAGTTTCTTAATTTTTCACCAAGTGTATTTTAAAATCTTCTATAGCTTGCCCTGTGTCATGGGTTGATACACACCTACTACTGATCATGGAATTTCAGTGTCCTTTGTAGGAGAGGATAATTGCGAATGAATAGCGTACAGTTTGTCCGTAGGTTCTGTAACAGACTGCAGGTGGGAAGAATTGAAGGCAGGTGTTCATAGGAATTCACGATTTCTAGTAGTAGAGGCAATCCTGAAGATGCGAAGTGGTGATTCCTTTGCCTCCTGCAGCACAATATGGGAAAGAGTTATAAATCAGAAGAGAAATTGAAGTTGGAAAAGTGATTGGGCTTACGTTATTATTACCAGTAAATTAAAAAACATAAAACTTGATTTGTCACTTTTTTGAAGAAAATTTTTATTGTAATTTGGAGGTATAGTTCCTTCCTAGGTTATTATTGTTCCATAGAGATAAAGGTACAGGGATTAATAAAGCTGAGAGGTTAAAGTGGTCAGCAATGATCATCTTTTTATATTTTTAAATATTTCTTCCACTTTAAGAGTTATTTTTATGTCTAAGAGTTATTTTTATGTCTTAGGATGGGATTCAAAATTTAATGTGTTAAGCATTTTAAAATTCAAAGTATAAATACTGGTCAATGCACTTTGATATATATATATATGTATATATCTGTGTGTGTGTATATATATATATATGTATATATTTAAAATTTAGGTATTTATGTATACAGAGCTGGGGTACAGGCGAGAAGTGAAGGGGCAGTGAAAGGATTCACCAGAAACAGTGGGGAGCAGAACAGGCAGATTGACTAGGAGCAGTGGGAGAGACAAGAGGTCTGCTGTACCATGTGGGTCACGTCCCCGGCTGGATATTGAACTTGCACTGAAGCTTGCAGTGTTTTACCCTAACCTGTTGCTCCACCAGGGAGGTCCAGCACTGTTATATTTTTGGACTTAAAATATTTCCTCAATTTAGCTTCTAAAATATTTTTTACACTTTTACATATCAAATTTTTATCTGTTTTAGAGTCCAGTAGGCAGACAGACACACACTCATTCCTACACCTTTGGTGTTCTCACCCCAGTTGACAACTGGTAACATAATTTGCAGTGAAGTTGATAAGCAGAATATGGTGAAAGTAGATTTGTGATGACCCAGTTCTCTGATGGATTCTTCTTGTGATCAAAGAACTGACCAGCAGGGGTTTTGATGCTGCATATGATGCTGCATATGATCCTGCAATAGATGAAAGTTAATTTGTGCAATCTGTGATCAGGTGATCAATGTAGCCTTTTTATAGCATCATATCCTAATCACTAGCTCAAGCTAATGAATCCAGTACTCATTTTTTCATGGAAATGTAATTTTTGCTTGTATAGCAGAAAATCTGTTTAGTGTGTGTAACATGCTAAGGTTGTTTGCTATGTGTTCTTACTTAAACAACTGGTTTTATATCTCGGAATATGCAAAAAGTTATGGTAACTAACAATATTCTAAATGTAGGTTATATTTAGTGTGAAAATTGAGCAAAGGAAGAAAAAACACTGATTGTCCTGAAAGCTGTTTTGCCTATTCTTCACTTAATGCAGTTGATAGGTTTGTGGAAACTAGAACTTTAAGCAATGATGCATAAGGAAGCTAGGTTTTCCAATAACCTTCAACAACGTTGATTTGTTCAATTAGTCAGAATTGCTTTTTTCTTATCAATTTTATAATGAAACAGCTTGAACAAAGGATGTCATTTGATGACCTGCAGTTTAAAATAGCTTAGAAAAATATCCGTCATATATATTATTGATGTTAGGAGTGGTTAGATGCTGATATTGCCTATATTCATACACAAAATCTTTAGGTAAGGCATGTTTTTAGGTAGTTTTCCACATGACTAGTGTAGTTAACATTAGAAATTTAAAATTTTTTTAGTAAGTTTCAATAATTTTGTTTTACTTAAATCTTTAGAAAAAGTGGTAGTCAACAATGTGTCTTCTAAAATGTGATGATAAAAAGTTGTAGCTACAATTTGCTGATATTTACCAGGTTGATTTTTTTTTTTCCTACCTGTAAATGGACTTGGTAATAAGGATTTTTTTTATAATGTTAGGATTTTTTTTTAATTATATATGTAAGACCAGTGTTTCTTTTCATTTTTTTATATATATATATAGATGCCTAATCTTAAAAGCACTTAGAAATTTTTTTAATGAGTCGACTAATCTGTCATCTACATTTTTACAAATAGAATTTTATTATAATAGGTTTGCTTTAATGATTTTGTAGATGAATTAAATTTATATTGGTTAATTTCCTAAAGTAAATCAAAAGAACTGATCTGTTTGTATTCACATTTTTCTTTTGTTAAAGAAAGTTAAAGATTTTTGAGTAAAATCCCATTGTCTATTGTTTAGCTTAAGAGGGGAATCATTAACATGAATTTGTTCAAAAGAATGGTAATTAAGAATTTACCTTAAAATTTTATCTGAAATATCTTTCTTTTGGATAATAGGAGAGATGAGACTAGTAGCTCCCACCTCCCTTCCCAAATAGAAGTACTCCCAAAGTTAGTTGAAAATTGTGTGAAAAATGTATAAGAACAATACATGTTAGTTTCATTTAAAAAGTACTACAATTGCGTAGAGATTTTAAATAAAAACTATTTGAATACACATTCTTTGTTGAAAAGTTATTAGAGAATACACGTTGGTGTTAAGAAACTTAAACCTGCCCCTCAGTCATTTTGAATATATAGGTGGTACTTACACTTTAGTTTTTATATATACACACATATATTTTTACAAAACTGGGTTCATGTTCTATGTTACATCTTTCTTGCTTTAACAAGAAAATTTTAATGGTACTAGGTGTGGTTATGTTTTTTTGTATACAGAAAGGAAGTTTGTGTTTATGTGTTGAGTTCTGTGTATCCCAACAAACAAGAAATCTTAAAACTGCCTAGAGAGAAGAATAAGGAGGTCAGTTGAGAGTAGAGATTTGAGATGCGATATTTACATCCTTCCCTGTGAATTTATCTTTAACTTCCACAAAAAAGAGTGAAGCACGTAGTTGAAAGTTAGGTTGTGTTAGGGAGAATAAATTTCCCTAAATTGAGGTAATTAACTGATTAGGACTTGATCAGGTTTATCTTCTAAGAAACAGTCATTTGGTGATTGACTTTTCAGTGACAAACTAGTCATTATCAAGAGCCTTGACAACTTTGCCCACACAGACTAAGTTCTGAGCTCCTTACTCTTTAAAATTGTGCCATTTGTGCACTGCTATCTAGCCTTTTTCAGGCACTTAATTTCATAATTTTCATTACTGACCCAGGGATTCCAATCGCTCTTCTTTGCCCTTCCTTGAAGAATTTCCTGGTAAGAAATTACCTTTTATCTGAACAATTTGAAAACTCCCCCTTTGTCATGTTATCGTGGTAGGATTGACTGCATGTAGGCTAGATTAGCTGCAT